TGGACCTTGATTCCTCCTAACAGGGATGATGAGATCCCTCTTTCTCAAATGACAGGTTTGATCAAATACCCTGTCCTCTAAAGATTAAAAAAAAAATTAATAGTTGGCCTTCATCCAGATCTGGATGGTTGAGCTGTATCGTAAGTATGCGTGGCAGCCATAGTGTTTATTCTTTCCTGGCTCACGGTTCTCCAGCTTCAGAGTGGTAATTAAGCAAATGGCTTATTCCAAACAAATTGGATTTCCAGGGAAGATACAGGAGGGAAAATGGCAGAAAGGTCCATGGTCTCCCTGAGACCGAATGAGGGACAAGGGCTCTGAGGCTCTCCTTAAACCATGAGCTGGATGACAATTGTCATGGGGCAATTAAAAACCTTTTTCCCTTAAAACATAACACTTACAAAATGGGTTTGCTTGTTCTCAGTGTTGTATGGCATGACATTTTGGAAAAAAGTTTCCTTAGTGATGCTCTTAAAATATTTTTAAATTAGATGAACAGCAAGAGGTTGATCCTGACTCTGTCAGTGAATACATTTCATGAGACTCAGGCGTTGGGGACTAACACCATCTGCTCAAGAGCAGGCCTGTGTTTTACTTACAGGTGCACGTTACTGCTTGTGAAAGAGAAAAGATTCTTCCCAACTTCTTTGCTGAGTTACTTCTCTGTGACTTTACATTTCAGTCCCTTGTCATCCACAAATCAACCCTTGACCCACGCTGGGCCAGCTGAGCCTCTGAGGCCTCCCTGGGCGACCCCTTCGTGGGTCCCACGTGGGAGGCTCTGCGGTTCCGGTTCTGGGGCTCACGCTCTCCCCAGAGGCAGCTCGCTGACGTTGTCGCAGGGCGGTGGGGGGAGGGGAGCCATATTCACTGCTTGCCTGCACTTCCCTGCCCAGGTGCTATACCCATAAGATGTTTGACATCAAGATTATGACTGCGGCCGGTGTTGCCTTATTGATTGCCATACTTGTGCTGATGTCCTGTGTCACCGGTCTTCTATGCAAATTGATGGACATATTGAAGTGAGTGGCGTGGGTGAAAGTGAATGAGACCCCTCCCATGGGACACCTGGGGCCCTCTGCTTGAGCGGGGCCACCCTTGCTCTGGGGCCGCACCCCCGCAGAGGTCGGGGCAGCGGGCAGGTCTGAAAAGGCACAGGCAGGTGAGTACAGAATCTTCGCTTCTCCCCTCCTGGCGGGGGTGTGAGCTCACAGGGGAGAGCTCTCTGCAGACGGCTCTGCCTGCCAGCGCTCCCTGCCGTCCCCTGACCTCACAGAGCCCACCCTCAGCGGGCGATCTCCACCCAGGGGCCGGCCCTCCCTGTGCCCCGCCAGGCACCGCAGAGGGGAGACCGCGGGGCAGGCCTCGGCACCGAGCCTCTGCCTCCGGGTCCCTCAGAGGACGGGCGGAGGCGGTCTCCCCTTGCCTGCGCTGGGGGCTCTCAGGGCGCTCCCTCGCTCATTGCCCGTGGCCTCGGGGACAGTGCAACGGGCCTGGGAGGCTGGAGGAAGCTGAGCTGTGTGAAGGTCCTGGGGGACACCGGAAAGGAGTGCAGGTCAGACACGTCATTAAATCCAGGGGAGAGGACCCTTCAAAATGGGAGAGATTCGTTGTCAGAAGAAGTGATGTTCCCATCCAGGGAAGGCAAGCCCGTTACCTGTGAGCTAGAAGGTGCTTCCAGAACCTGGGGAACAGCTGGCCGTGGCACCTTCCCCATCCTGCTCCGCACGGAGCGCACGGAGCGGGCCTGCGGTTATCCGCAGGGTGATGCACGCTTGCGCTCCACTCTCCCTTCTTTGCTGTAATCCGATTTTGCATTTCTAGGAATCGGAGGGGAAGAAGAAATTAGATAGGAACTTGGGACAGGGGCAGAGAGCTCTCACCGCAGGCTGGTGCATGTTTGGTTGGCTCCAGCCCTAAACTTCCCAGATCCCCTTGACAATTGTAACAAATGGACTGAGAAGAAAAATCTAATCCCATGTGTGTGTCTGTCTTTTCCTAAGATCTCCAAAGTCACCTGTTTGTTCGGCCTTAAAAAGTAATGCACTCACGGTCACTCGGGACATCACCGCAGGCACGTCCATAGCCGCTGGGCCCTATCCAGACCTCCAGTGCTGTGACGAGTGTAAACTGACTCCTGGCTTTGATTCCCTGCCGCCATGCTTCTGTGATGTAAACGAGGGTCTCTGACTTGAGTGGGCACAAATATTCAAAGAGCAATATTTCTTTCCTAGTAGACTGTTTTATTATTCAAGTCAAGCTTTATACATTCTATAACGTACTATGTAACATTCATGTACTTGGGAATAAATGCAGTATTGAAGATAGTCCTCTCTGCCTCTGGTAATTTCTGCTGTTGTTAGTTATAAATGTACTTAACTTTGTGTATTACCCGCTTTGGGACTTGGAGCAACTAGCTTGTGATGTTCCATTACAATATAAGGAGAGTGGGAGTAGAACATAAAAGAAGGCATGTAGACAGTTGAACACAAAGAGCTATCATTGCTGCTGGATGCTTGGGAGGTAAAAAATAAAAGCATTTGAAAACTGTTTAGACTGAAGCTTCATAGCAGCCTCAGAAAAAAGGAAAACAACAATGTCTCCAAAGGAGACACATGTTTCCCTGGTGGTCAATTCCCTTTGGATCTGACCACAGGCACCCCCCTGAGAGACTGCGGATCGGGTGCCTCCCCTGGGGTGACCCTGGGCATGTGTGGGCATCTGAGGGCATGCTGTCCGGCCGACCTCTGTGTCCTCAGAGCCTTGGGCACTGAGTTGGCTCCGAGGGAGGAGGGCTTCCCCTGGGGGATCCTCCCCCACGGGCTCCCCTAGACTCTTGGGGGCAGGGCCAGGGCCACAGAGAGCGCCTGGGCCAGCAGGGGCCGAGGCAACAGTAAGAGTCCTCGGAGCAGGGCGGGCGGAGCTGTGGGAGAGGCTCCGAGGTGAGACCTGGGCCACGGAAGGGGGACCCGGCTCACTCCCAGCAGCCCGGGGTCTGGGCTGCTCTCTGCCACCAGAGGGGTGGTTTGCAGGTATCGCCATGGTGTCTGCAACCACCTGACCCAGGGGTTAGTCACAGGATGGGTACCTGGCCAGAAACACACACACATACACACAAACCAACCGAAAACCTGACCTGGGTGAGAGCCCTTGCGGGCGTGGATTTGCCAAGAACTTCCCGTGAAGAAAACGAGCCCCTGTAACCTAGGCGGAACCAGCTCCGTTCGCTGGTCCTCGGCGTGGCTGCTGTGCGGCCGTCCTCGGTGGACTGCAGACGCCGTCGCTCTCTGCGCCCACCTACCCCGCAGCAGGAGGGTGCGTGGGGGCCAGGGCAGTGCACATTAGGGTATCACATGAAAAACACAAACAGAAAGCCAACCTCGTCCCTAAATTACTTGGTATCCACTTTGGCCAAGCGGCCTGTGGGGGCCTTAACCTGACGCGAGACCCCTGCGGAAGCACATGGTAACAGCCCAGAGAGTTACAGGTAATGTCCCTGACAGGACCCCCACCCCCCCGGCAGCCCTTGTGATCAACATCTTCCCGTCTTCCCCTTGCGCCCCCTTAGATAAGACCCCACGGGGTGACCAGAAGTCCACCCTTGCTGGCATGAATTGACGGGCCCAGCCTCAGCCCCGGAACCCCGAAGCGCTCCACCCACGGGCCTAGTGGTCCTGACTCTCTCTCTGCCTGCACTGGGGCGTGACTTCCTGGCGTGTCCCCTCACGGCGTGCCCGGTACGTCCTCCAGGACCCACGGGAGAGAAGCTTCTATTTCAACTTCTCTTGTGGTCTTCTGTTAAACTGTGGCTCACAATCCGGCACCCTGTGCTCCACTTAACAAAGTCCTAACGTGCCTGAAGTTTATAGCATAGGCAGGGAAACCATTAAACGCGTATATTACATTTCGCATTGCTAAACATTTTTAAAATGATTGTGATCTTGCTCCCCGATTATGTTTCCTCATCGGATACTTGCTGAAAAATCTATCATTCACTCTTTAACCACCGAGGTTTATTTTCAGTCACGGTCCTTGCTCTGAAGGGTGGCTTGTGGCTACAGTCACAGGGAGGCATTTTGTAAATCAGTGAAGAGACCGCAGATACCAGAGGCTGGAGAACAGAACCGAAGGGCTCAGTCTGAAGGGACAGAGATGGCTCCCGAGTGACAAAGGAAACATCGCCCCATGGCTGTGAATGTTGTGAATGTCCCACAAATTAGAAAAGACTAGGAAAAACAATAAGCAAATCCTCACATGACTGTGGAGGCAATGTGTTCCATGTACAGTGTTACCTGTGTAGTATCATAAAATTGAATAAAGAATATATAAATAAGAAAGGGTCATTGAAAATAAAGCAATTCTATTAACTTAAGCTAAGTAGTTTCCAGAGCGGACTCATTTATTTTTTAGGTGCAAATACATCACCCGTCAGCACATACGCAATAGTTATAGTTCCTGAAAACTAAGCCCGCCAGCGCTGACGGCCACCTCCTTGGGTCACGTGCCTCGCCCCTTCCAGGCGGGGCCTCGGGCCATCACACTCTGAGGTCCCAGAAGGGGGCTCGGGACAGGGGAGCCTGTGTCCGCTCAGAAAAGCAGTGCGCTACGCTTTCGGGGTTGACACAAAACAAGGTAACTTCTCTTGCCTTACGGTCAACACTAAATCTAAAGTTATAATCCTAACAAGCAACAGGCTGGTTCTGACTTTTCGTTCCTATTTACCGCCACATTCTACTGAAACAAATGCCAGAGCAGTCCCAGAGTGTATGCAGAGGTGCCAAACATTGCTGCATCTTATTATGAGACAAACAATACAAAGTGTAAATTGTGACCTGAATTAAAGGTTCCAAGTCTTAAGTATCCAATTTTTCAAGAACATTTAGGAAAAAAAAATTATCAAATACTCTGAGCATTATTTTGTATACTTCCAGGACTATGAAATAAGATCTTTTATAAATAAAAATATACTTCTATCAGACATATTGCATTAGAAATCCTGAAAAATTTTAAACACTTCAACATCACAGAAGTACACATAAAGTTCTGTAAGAGTGAACAGTATTGCAAAAAAAAAAAATAACTTATGACCCAATCACGTCCACTCATAGTGCACAGAACTAGATTTACAGTAACAAGTACAGTTGAAATGAACATTGAGGTCACTTGTATAAGTAAGATGACAATTCTCAAATGACATTAAATGCTTGCTCTGACCTTTTTGGGTCTGGGCTCTGTAATAAATATGTAATAAATATCCGTAGTGTGCGGTGCCTGTGAGCACTTATCTTTCTCCGTTTGAAAGTCTTTCTGCAGAGTCACACTGTCTCAGAGGCATCCCCAGGGGCGGGGAGCTGGGGTTTTGCAGCAAGTCCACCAACAAAGCGATCTTATTGTCTATGTGCTCCTGGAGTTTATAGATTCTCTGGTCAATGTAGTCCATAAGTTTCTTTTCCATCAGTTCCATATTTTTAGAAAGAATCTTTTCTAAATAGGAGCAAACAGGTTGCTCACCCATCCTAAAAATAAATTTAAAAATAATATAATTATCCTTAATATTTTCACAAAAACAACCAAACTGTATGACCAGAGGCCAATATACATTGCTGAGATCTGTCTTCGCGACTGTGCTGTCTCCTTATATTTCTAGATTCTAAAATAGATGTGATAGGCAACCACAAACCTGAATGCCCTAAGTATTATTTCTCTAATTCTGCAAACATTTAAGCATACCATTAAAATGAGTATATAAAATGACAATAGGATTTTTACCCTCAAAGAACGAGTCTTTTCAAATGGTCTTTTTAATTTTGAACTCCAAATCAAAACTGATCTTGCTGAATTTTTTTAAATGTCTCTATGTGTGTCTTCCTAGCCCCTCCCCAAGCAATTTCAAGTTTTGTCTTTTTTCATCCACACCTTACTAAAGTACTAGAAGGCTCTTCTCTAATTTGAAAACATTTAAAAACAAATGTAACTGGACTGGGCAAATAAAACATACTAAAAAAAAAAATGCCAGTTTCTACAGTTCACAATGGATGAACACTAAGTCAGAATACACCACCACAAAATGCTGGCGTCTCCATGAGTTTTTCAGGGGTTCTATGATCAAGTTACTTTTATAATAATCCTAACATATTATTTGAACTTAACCTCCTCATATTCTCCTGAATGTACAGTGACATTTTCCAGAGGCTACCCAATGTATAATGTCATTGCCCTGGTGACTAACATAGAATGTATAGTTGTCTATTCTTCTGTTTCCTAGAATTTGCTAAGGTAGTAGGTTTTGGCTATAAATACTTTTCCAGACTACTCACTACTTCTACTGTGCTCCTACTAGCCATTGATTATACACGTTACAATGTGACAATTTGAGAATGCAACCAAAAGCTAACAGATTTGCATAAATTTATGTAAATTCTCACTAAACTTCTTAAAATATTTTTCCATATAAACTATGGTACTACATAATTGGTTTATTATTATCTTTAAACAAATATTTTATACAACCTACACGAACAAAGGTTCTTTAAAATCCTCAATTATTTTTAAGAGTGTGAAGACCAGAAAGTTTGAGGACCACTACTCTAGAGTATATGAAGATTTTCGACTGTACTTTCAAATAAGCATAGATCCATAGGAAATGGTAAAGGTACCAGAGTTCCCCAGTACCCTTCTCACCCAATGATTCCAATGGCTATGCCTTACCTACCTACTCACTCACCTTTCCTCTCACAGTGAGGAAACGGATGTTATATGTGTCATTTTCTCACAGGTACATTCATGTAAACATCACAATCAAGATGCCAAACTATTCCTGAACTACAAAGATCTCCCCCCTGCTACCCCTTTAATGTCACATCCACTTCCCAAATTCCCTCCATCTGTAATGCCTGGCAACCCCTAATACGTTCTCCATCACTACAATTTTACTTTGAGCAGGTTATGCAGGCCGACCTTGTTTTATTGTGCTTTGCTTTACTGTGCCTCACAGCGGGTGCATTTTTTTACAAATCAGAGGCAAGACCCTCCACCAGCAAAAAGATCGTGACTTGCTCTATTACCATACTCACTTGACTGCAGTGGTCTGGAACACACAATACTTCCAAGGTATGCCTGTACAAAGGGAATCATGGGAATCATACAGTATGTGACCTCTTGAGATTCTCTTGTCACTTGGCACACTACCCTTGAGAACCACCCAAGCATTTGTGTGTATCAGCGGTTCATTCCTTTAACTGCTGATTAGCATCCATGATATGGATATACCACTGTTTGTTTAACCATTCAGCCATTTTAAGACACTCTGGATGTTTCCCGTCTTGGGTTATTCTATACAAATAAAGCTTCTATGAACAATGGTATACAAGTTTTTGTGTGATCATAAGCTTTTCATTTCTTTGGGATAAATGCCCAGGAGTACAGGGTCTGTCCAGAAAAAGTCTAGCCATTGTTAATCAAATGAGAATGGTTTGCACAACAATTTAACCTGGCAGCCAAGGAGAGTGTTCCATGAACAATGACAACTTCACTGTACTAGTCAGTGTGGGTGGTAGACACTGTTGAGTAAGCATGGGTACTGTGTGGCTGTCACATTCAAAATGACTGAAGGAATAGAGCAAGGAATCTGCATCAGACTTTACTGTAAGCTTGAACATTCCTCTGCAGAAACTATCTGGATGACTCAGAAGGCCGCAGCTATGGGCAAGTGGTGATGGGCAGCTTCATCACGACAGTGCGCCCACTCATGCATCACATCTTATGCAGTTCTTTTGTGAAACATCAAATCACCCAGGTGACTCAGCCCCCCTACAGCCCAGATTTGGCGCCCTGTGACTTCTGGCTTTTTCCCAAACTAAAATCACTTTTGAAAGGGAAGAGATTGCAGACTGTCAATGAGATTGAGAAAAAATGCAATAGGGGGGCTGCTGGAGATTGGGAGAACTGTGTGTGGTCCCAGGGTGCCTACTTTGAAGGGGACTGAGGCGCCATTGTCCTAGGTATGTTTCTTGTATCTTCTTTAATAAATGTCTCTATTTTTCCTATTACATGGCTGGATACCTTCTGGACAGACCTCGTATGACTGCTGGGTCTCATGGTAACTGTATGTTTCATTTTCAAGACACTGCCAAAATATTCTTTAGGCTGGCCGTGCCATTTACACCCCCACCAGCAATGCAGGAGAGATTGGATTCTCCACACCCTCATCGGCATTTGTGTTGTTACCATTTTTTAGGTTTTCTATTGTAGTCATTCGAGTAACTTTGTAGTGTTAGCTTGCTGTGGTTTTTATTTTCATTTCTGTAAGAGCCAGGTGGTCAACTCTGATCATCTTTGCATGTGTTTATTTGCTATTTGTACACCCTCTCTGGTAAAATGTCTCTTTATGTCTTTTGCCCATGTTCTAATTGAATTTTTTTTTAAATTTTGAGTTTTGAGTTCTTTACATACAGGGTGGGGCAAAAAAAGGCTGAGTTGTGAGTATGTGAAACAGTTTGTTCTTTTTTTAATCCTCAGCTGAGGATAGGTTTTTTATTGATTTTAGAGAGAGGGAGAGAGAACCATTAATGTGAGAGAGAAACATCAATTGGTTGCCTCCCTTATGGGCCTCGACTGGGGACTGAACGCGTGACCATTTGGTGTGCGGGACGACACCCCAACTGAGCCACCCATCCAGGGCCACAGTTTATTCTTGCATTATTATTTATTAACTATTGTATTATTTTCCATACGAACAACTATAAGCCTACTTTTGCCCCACCCTGTATTTTAAATATTTTGTTGGACTTGTGATTTGCAAACATTTTTTTCCCATTTTGTAGTTTATATTTTAGTCCTCATAACAGGGTCTTTTACTGGGCTAAAGTTTTAAATTTTGATGGGTCCAATACTGCAAATTTTCAATTACTCTGCTTTTGGTGTCATATCTAAGGAGGTGTTTCCTAGTCTTAGGTTCCCAAGATTTTCTATGTATTACTAGAAAAGTTTTATAGCTTTATATTTTACATTTAGGTCCATGATCCATTTTGTTGAAATTTTTGCATATGGTATGAGGTTTACTTCATGGTTCATGTTTTGTCCTTGGGAAATCCAATTGCTCCTGCACTGTGTGTTATAAAGACTGCCCCACTGAATTGCTGTTGTGCCTTTATCACAAATCAGTGGGTCATAGTGGTATGAGGCTATTTCTGTGTATTCTATTGTATTGATCTGTATGTCTGTCCCTCTGCAAATATCATAGTCTTGAATATTGTAGCTATGTCTTAAAATCAAGTAGTGATTTTTCTCACCTTATTCTTTTTCAAAATTGTTTCAGCTATTCTATTTCCTTTATCGCTCCATTTCCAAATTTTAGAATAATCTTGTCTGTTTATAAAATCTTGCTGAACTTTTGGTAGAAATAGATCAATTTGGGGAATACTGACATTTTTACTATGTTGAGTCTTTAACTCCATGAATATGGTACATCTCTCCACTTATTTAAGTCTTCTCTGATTTGCTTCATCCGGATCTTATAATTTACAACCTATAGATCCTGCATATATTTTAAGTTTTTATATATTTTTATAATTATTTCTAGTTATATATTTTCTATGGATTTATATGTACTTTTATGAATCTCCTTTTCTTTAGAGCAATCTAATTTTGGTACCAGGGTATATTGGCTTTGTAAAATAAATTGAGAAGTCTTCCCTCCTCTTCTATTTTTTTTAAGTGTATAAATTTGGTGTTCTTTAGATGTTTGGTAGAATTCTTCACTGAAATTACCTGAATCTGGATGTTTCTTTACATGAGATTTCAAATTATGAATTCAGTACTTTTAGTGGTTATAGGACTACCTTGTATTGTTTGTATATTTCATCTTGGTTGAGTTTGAGAGTCTGTGGTTTTTAAAAGACTTAATCTATTTCTTCTAAGTTGTCATTTATGAGCATAATTCACAATATTCCCTTACGATTTTAATGGCCCAAGAACTTGTAGTGATAGCTCCTGTTTCATTTGTGATATTGGTGATATCTGTCTTTGGCAGATTTGTTAGCTAGCCCTACTAGAAGAATATCAATTTTACTGAAATTTTTAAAGAACCCGCATTTTGCTTGATTTTATTTATTGTTTTCCATTTTATATTTCATTGATTTCCACTTTTTCATTTGTTTGTTTGTTTGGGGTTTATTCTGCTGGGCTTTTAAATTAAAAACTCAATTTCTTTGATGATTATAGGGTTATTCCAATTGTCTATTTCATCTTGGCTGAGTTGTTATAGTTTTGTGTTATTGAGACCTCTCCCCTTAAGAATGCAAGCTTTTAGTGCTATAAATATTCTCAGCACTTTTAGCTGTACCCCATAGAGTTTGATCTGTTGTATTTTCATTAACTACCATGTACTTTTTAAAATTTCTGTTGAGATTTCCTTCTTGAACCATAGATTATTTACAAGTGTGTTATTTAATCTCCAAATGTTTGATACTTGTCTTTTCATTGATTTCTAGTTGGATTGGATTTATTTATGGTCAGAAAACATATTTTGTATGATTTTAATCCTTATAATTTTGGTTAGGTTTACTTTATGGTAAGATATAATCTATCTTTGTGAATCTTCCATGGACACTTGGGAAAAAATGTGTTTTCTGCTACTGTTAGTGGGGTTTTCTGTAGATGCCAATTAGATTCTGCTGGTTGGTGGTATTGTTTAGTTCCAAACTAATACTACCACCTCATTTTCAGATGAAAACTCTAAAATAGGGGAGATTAAAGAGTGGCAAAGTGGTTAAGCCAAAACTATGACCAGAGTCCTACTTCCTGTCTAGGACACTATTTTGACACACACTGTTATGTAAAGGATAGAGAACATACAAAATAACGGGAGTATAAAATCAGGGGATAAGAGACTGTTTACTATAAATAAAGGTCATCCTAATATAGTTTTGATTATTCCAAAATTAGCCTAAGTCATAGATGACCAAAAAGAAAAATCTGTTACAATGGTATGCCTAACATATCCAGCCAAAAAAAGTACAAATAAAAACATAAAGATGATGAGCCCATAGCTCTTCTCTCTTGATGCAAATAACTTTCAATTCCAACCTCTGTTGGATGGTTGTAACCCTTTCACAAAAATCCCTGAGACGTCCACACACCTCTACTTCAGGCACCTCTTTCAAAGCAACCAATTTCCCTTTGTGTAAACGTTATTCCTTGTAAGCCTGTTAATGGTAAAATGTAAAAGCTCCTGAAATTACTTCTGGGAACTGATTAAGCACTCAGGCAGTACTCCTTCAGACAATCATTTCTCTTCTGTTGATTCTCCCACCTACCAGATCTAAACTATGTTAGTTGTAAAATAAATACTTACGCAGCCCCGGCGACGCCGTCACTGGGCTTGGAGACGCCGCCCGGCCCCTCGGCGGGATGGCCCACACGGAGACCGTTAACCTGACCGCACAAGTTCTGGAGAAAAGGCAGCAGCTCTGAGGGAGGTAGAGCGGAGCGGTCACTTGCTTTCTTTGGCAAGAAAGAACATACCGCGTTCTTAAGATCAGTCTCAGGAAAGCAACGGTTCTGTGGCACAATGTGACCCGCCTGGGGGTTTGAAACGTTTCCGCCACCGGGGGGCTGGGCGCTTCTGTCAGCGTGCGCTTTTGGGTCTTCAGGCGCGTTTCCAGAGGTCAAGCCAGCCCCGAGCGGGAAAGGTGCGGGGGACGGGCTGTCCGGGGCGCCGGACGCGGACGGCGACTGCAGGCCCATCACCCATTTGCACGCAGTCTTGCCCAAGACCGACTGGAGCTGCTCTCCAATGGAACGGCAGTTCTAAGCCAGGTAAAGAAGTAAATGTTACCATCAATAGTAAGCGTAACGACAGCTCACTTGCGGAGTAAGTTAGAATCAGGCCGTGTGCATTCTTTCACGGGACCCTCAAAACGTCCACAGGAAGGAAGCTCCCCTTACTCTCCAATACTAAGTGGAGGAGCCCAAGGTTGGAGGGGACGTGGCCAAGTCACACAACTGGCCAGTGGTAGAGCCAGGCCACCTAACGCGGGTCAGGGCTTTGACCATTTGACTGTAGTTTTTCCTAAGGAAGATGTTAAAGTGAATACGAGCATACTTACTAAAATCGCATTAGCGTATTTTAATATTTCCGCTACAAAGGCCTTCTTGGTTGATGGTAATAAAATGTAATACTTCCAATCCAGTCACAGTAATTGGTCATTTTCATAGTATTAAATAGCATCTGTCAACTTTACACGCGGTAAGCCAACTAAACACATCTTTAGCAACTATTTTTTTCATGGAAGATACACCAAATAGCTATATACTTAAAGTGTGATGGCCCATGGGTAAATGTGTGACATTTTTCAATGACCAAAATGAGCTACCTTTGGGCTACGTCTGCATTAATGCTCTGTAGGACAACAGATTATGTTTTGTGGCCTCAACTCGCCTGAGTATCTTGTCTTTGAGAAAATGGAGCCCATGCGCTCATTCAGTACATTAGGTGACAACTGGATGCTAGGCACCCTGATACACATTCCCATTCAATTATTCTAAATGGCTACAGTAGAAAAAAGGCCTGCACATTTGAACTGCAAATACAAGAACGTTAATTAGCGAGACCTTCGAGAAAACAGGCAACCCCAGGGCCGGGTGAAGCAGGGAGAGGTCTGGGACGGCTGACCCAGCCCCCAGGTCCCCCCACTCCCCTGGGGACAGGCCCTGCCCACACTAACGGAGGAAGGTTCTAAGCAGGGTGTGTGGTCCTGCCACCTCCACCGAAGCAGTAGCTCTGGTCATGAAACAGCCCCTTGTATGCTCAGATAGTTAAGGGGTTTCCACGACGTTTTCCAGGGAGACGTTCTGTAGACTGCTGGTTTGTTCAACAAGAAGCACTCCTGCTTATTGCTGCACGAGGTATTGCCCTGGGAGAGTCACTCCCAGATACGGCTTGCTCACTAGGAGGGAGTCTTTCTCTAGCACGTTCAGAAGATTTCCCGGGATCACCTTCTTTCTCCCCCAGGGAGTTCCCCAAATGTCCCCATATATAATCATTGAGCATGTGTGTGGGGAAAGCAGGTTACAACCCACGAGTTGGCAGGGAGAGCTTGTATTTGTTCCTGTATGCCAAGGAAACTCGTGAGGCAGTCACGTTAAGGTGGGGAATAAGAGGACAAGGAAACACTTAGAAAATTTACTTAATGCCCTTCTGAATTGATTACAATTCCTGGCAAAGAAACCACATTATATTTGGAATTAAATTAAAAAAAAAAAAACCCGGACATTAAAAACATGGTAAAAATAATCTACTATCTATTTCATTCTTTTTCAAAAGTCAAGTTTTTCAAACATAAAAATTATATGCTTGTATCTAGTAAATCAGTCCATGAACTGATTTTTATGCATTAACCCCCTATAATGCTTCCAAAATCTTAACAAAAAAAAATTTCTTCTTGTTTTCATGTTTTCAATCTCTGTCTCCACTGGATCCTTCCCCTCACGGATTTGTTCTTAAAATATAAACCAAAAGGCTCACGTGGAACGTCTGTGTAAAATACTTATTCCTGGACGCCCCCTACCCTCCAGGCAGCTGGTCACCAGTTCAAAGAACAAAATTTAAGTCAGCACATATTATAAAAACCCATTTAATTAGAATATTTTTGGTATCCAAAAAACTAAGATGGCGGAGGAGTGAGTGGAAGTCACACTGACCTCCTCCCAGGACCAACCTGGAAATACAACTAAATTGTGGAGAAATCACCTCGAACAAATAACTGAACAATAGCAAGAGAGGAGTCTTATAACCTCGGACAGACAGAAGAATCAGCTTTAGCACAACCTAATTGTAAGGAGTGCAGTAGAGACTCGAGAAGGTGGGCAGGGCGCCCACTCGCAGCAGCACCAGAAGGATATTGAAACAGCCAGTTGGATCCCCCTGAGAAGAGCAGGGTCTGAACCATAAGCAGGGATCTCTAGCCTACAGCACCAGAGCCCAAAAAGTACACAGATAACAGCCACCTGCGAAAAGTGGCAGGGTTGCTCTCTGCCAGAGACAGGTGGCTAGAGAAGCAAAGAGCCATTTAAAGGGCCAACGCATAAATTTCTATTTGCAGCCACTTACCCTGGTCTCCAGCAAAAGCAGGGGAGAGTGGGGCTGGAGACGCCTAAGGAGAGACTGGAGGCGGAGGCTTTGGGGAGAGTACTGAGAGAGTAGCTGGTGGGATCCCAGTGCTGACTCATTTCCCATGCGGTGGCAGCCATCTTGCTCAGGCAGATCACACCCCTGAGCGGCAGCAGCGGGAGAGGACCCAATAGCCCCGCCCCCAGGAGGCCTGGCTTTGGCCTGGTTGTGCTAAAGCCTGACGGCTGAGTACACAGTGGCAGCCACAGATAGTAGATCCTTGGCTAAAGGGGGCACAAAGTGGTCTAGAGCCACTTGAGGAGAGACTGGAGATGGAGGCTTTGGGGAGAGAACTGAGAGAGTAGCCAGTGGGATCCTGGTGCTGACTCATCCCCCATACGGTAGCAGCCATCTGGCTCTGGCAGACTACTCCCCTGAGCAGCAGCGTCAGAGGACCCAATAACTCCACCCCCAGGAGGGACTCTGCCCTGCCCTGTAGTGTCTCTAAGCCTGACTGCTGAGGGCAGAGTGACTAGATTAACAACTGAAGGAGGGAGCCATAGACAGTAGATTCCTGGAATTCTTGAACAGACTGGCTAAGGTCAGACAGGGTCAACATCTGACATCATCAGAGGCAGATCCAGAAAGAAAAACAAACAGCAGTCTCCTACCATAGAAATTCATACCACAAAGTCAGGAAATCAAGAGAGATCAATTGAAGAAGCAGAAACAAAAAAGAAGAGTCTCACAAATAATGGGAAGTCAGAGAAACACCCCCCAGTCGGAGGGATAGGAGGAATCCCCAGAAAGAGAAATAAATGAAATAGAAGCAAGTAAACCAGCAGATATTGAGTTCCAAACAATGGTTCTAAAGAAGCTCAATGAGCTCGGTGAGCTCAGAGAGAATTACAAAAAACTACAGGGAAACTACGAGGAGCTTACTGCAAACCATATCAGCATGAAAAAAGACATAGAAACTATCAATAAGAGACAAGAGGAAATGAAGAATACTATGTCTGAATTGAAGGACACAGTAGAAGGAATCAAAAAAGCTCCCAGAAAGAGCAAGAAAATGAAAATTAAAATGAAAAAAGGCTCAAAAAGAATGAAGAGGCATTTAGGGAAATGCAAGACAACCTGAAACCTAACAATATCCATATAATAGGGATACCAGAAGGAGAAGAAGAGGAGCAAGGGATAGAGAACCTATTAGGGTCGCATTCAAGAGGAACCCAATGAGGCCCACTCCAAGACACATCATCATTAAAATGGCAAATATCAAAGACAAACAGAATCCTAAAGGAAGCAAGGGAGAAAGAGGTAGTAATATATAAGGGACCTCCGATATGGCTACCAGGTGACTTCTCAACAGTAACACTACAAGCCAGAAGGGACTGGCAAGAAATATTCCAAGTAATGAAAAGCAAAGGCCTGCAACCAAGATTGTTCTACACAGGAAGGCTCTCAATTAAAATGGAAGGCAAAATAAGGAGCTTCTCAGACAAAAGAAGGCTAAAAGAATACACCTCCACCAAACTAGCATTGTGAAATATGCTGAGGGGACTGCTTTAAGAAGATGAAGAAAAAGGGTCTATGAATACCCAGTTCCTTTCACAGTCACCAATACTTGATATTACCAATATTTTTAATCCTTATAAATCTGATTGTGACAATGACATACATGTTATTTTAATTGTTACTTTTTATTTTTTGAAACTAAACCTGTTTTTATGTACTTCTTGCCTATTTCTATTATTTTTTAAAAAAGCTTTAAATGACTTTTTGGTATTCTTCATCCATTTTTTGATTAAATGTTTGTAGAATTTTTTCACTGAAAAAAAAATCAAATGAAAACAAAACAACTATTAACCCTTTTATAGATGTGTTGCAAATACTTTCCTATTATATTACATGTCCTTTACCTTTTTTTACATGAATATTACTGCATGGCCTTAAATGTCATATTGTCAATATTTTACTTTATAGCTTCTGGGTTTGAATATGTTACTTCAGGGTAAGAAAAATATTATATTGTATTTTTGCCTAAAACTCCTTATATTTTACATATTTTTTAACTCACCTGAATATTTGTTGTATAATGTGTGAAATAGGACTCTATATTTGTTTTATTTCAAGTAATAGTGATCCATGAACCTTATATGTTGAATAAGTCTTATGTTCCCCATTGATTTGAAATATCAATTTAATCACATGTTACATTGTTAGAAAGATATATACTTTTGTTTCTAGAATGCTCATTTTATTTCATTGATCTACTTGATTATTTCTGTACCGGTGTCATGATTGCTGAAACTTTATAATAGATTTAAATTTTTTAATATTTTATAATGGATCTTGACATTAAAAAAATAAATAAATAAAATCAATCTGCATTAAAAAAGAAAAGAAAGAAGGAACTCGTACCTTTTGCGACAACATGGAGAATATTCTGCTAAGTGAAATAAGCCAGTCGGTAAAAGACAAATACCATATGATCTTACCTATATGTGAAATCTATTCAACAAAATAGACTAATGAACAAAATAAAGCACAGCCAAGGAAACATGGAGCAGACTGAAAGAGACCAGAGGGGATGGGGAAGGAGGACAATGGTGGAAAGAAGGGGAAGGGACTAGACAAAGAACATGTATGAATGACCCATGGACACGGACAGCAGAGTGGGAATTGACTGTGGGAGGTGGGGACGGGGTGGGATGGGCGAAGGAGGGCAAAGGGGGAAAAACTGAGACAACTGTAATAGAATAAACATGATTTAAAAATAAAATAATTAAAAATATTTTTCATATGTTAAAAAACAATCCCCTTCTGCTTACCTGCTGCTGAAATCTAACCATACTCATCAGTTGCTGAGCACCCGGTGACAGCTTGGACCCCATGGACTCCATGATGGTTTGGACCCTCTCGAGGTCTATCGCTGCTCCCACAGCTGGAGAGCGCGTCGAAGAATTTGCTGAAGCTGGTCTCACATGTACCACAACCTTACTGATGAACACACGCTGCTTTTCACCAAAGGAGAGCAACTGTTACAACACAAAAAGGTTCCAGGGAAAATAATATTAAACAATAATCACTACTTAAGGTCACTTTTTTTTTGGTACAAACTAGCACCAGTGAAATATTTGGAAAAGCAGATATAAACTTTAAATACATTTTCATTTTAAAGTTTTGCCTATAATTGTAAAGGTCGGCACTTCCAATTTATTATGAAGCTCAGAAGAAGTATTTATGAAAAAGAATGCCATTTTCAAACTGAAAAAATATAGATTATACAAAAAGGGCTAAAATAAAGTTTCATTTTCATAATTTAAGTAATAAAAATAAACTATGCCAAAATGATAACCTACTAGATAACCTTCTAGATAAAGCTAGGTAGAATACAAAATAAGGCTATTCAGAAGATCTTGCACAGTATGTATTAATATCCTAAATATAAGTCAGTCTTTTAGGATTCAGAATTTTAAGTGAAAGTCAGACAGTCTAACATTGCCTGCTGGTTCACACATAAAAAAGATGAGGTTAAGGGTGATTTTCTAATTTGTCAAAGGATCACCCAATTAGAAGTCAAACTTAGAACTTAGCTCCTCTGGCTTCTAAGCAGTGTTCAAACTGTGCATCAGTAACTATTATGTTCAACTTTTATTTAGTATTGTCCCAGAACAAGCTTTAATAGATTTATAATTTCCCTACATGAAATGATGCTTTGCGCTCCCGTGTACTTTCACAGAACAGTTACAAAAATAGTTACCTTCAGAGACACACACAGAACCAACCGTATGCAACATGAAGACATAGGTCAACCATATCCATGATCCAAAAACTGAGTATGGGGAGTATGGTACCAAACAGGTGACTGTCCTTAATATTAAGAAACCTCCCACTTAAGTTTATACTCTTCCCTCCCAACCTCCCTTTTATCCCCTTTTCACTTTTTAATCCTGTATCTTTCCTTACCACTGAATATTACACATATTTTACTCTTCGAGTTGGCCTATCGTCCGTCTTATCCACTAGGCAACATCAGGGCAGTCATTCCAGTTTGTTATATTACTGCTAACTATGATACCGTCATCGGTAGGCAGTCATATATTTGTTGAATGAATATTTCATGTTAAATGAATGAATCACCTTATTTGAATAAATGTGGAAGCTATTACTATATATTATCTAAAAGAACATTGTGAAATAATCAGTTCTGTGAATATACCACCTGCCTGCTTTTTACTGACACAGTTTACATGACAACAATCAACCCATTTAAAGTGCAAAATTCGGTACATTTTAACATACAAGGGTATTCGCAGGGTTGTATAACCATTACAATTTTAGATGCCCCAAAGCAATCCTCTACCATCGGCATTCCCTCCCCATTCCCCCGCGACCCCGACTCCTACCCTCCAGCCCTTGACAACAACTGACTGACTTTCTGTCTCTGTGGATTTGCCTATTCTGGCTGTTTCACATACATATGGAATCATACAACATGTGGTCCTTTGCGACCGACTTCTTTTATTTTCAAGGTGCAACCATGCTTGTAGTATGCATCGGTAATTCATTGCTTTTTATGACTGAATACTTTTCCATGTTACGGGTATACCGTATTTGTTTACCCATTCGTTAGGTGATGGGTATTCGGGCTGTTCCTACCTTATGGGTGTTAGAAATGGTGATGCTATGAACATCCATGTCCACAGGGAGGATTTACTAATTTTTTTAGCTCTCTGATTTATCCATGAGTTGGTTCCAGAGCGATAAAGAGATTTGCCCACTGTCACTGAGCTATAGTCTGCAACAAAGCAGAACTAATAATCTGGGCTTATGATGTCCAGCTCAGTATCCTTTCTCTAGATTTCAGACACATCCCAAAAGTTCACCTCTACGTACTTTTCATTCTCAAGACACCAGTTCAAATTCTTTTAACTTCTAGATACTGTTCTCTGTAACTTCTCTAACTCTTTCCAATTTTTTTTTTTAATGTAATGGAGCCAAAACTGCTGGTAGTTGTCTCGAGAGTATTGTTTTATATAAAGATAATCAGGAACAAATTTGGACTAACTGTATTACCAAACCAACAGAAAATAAGCACAAATTATACAAAAGCACCTGCATTTGTCAAATTAGTTAAAATTTAGTGATGACTTACCTTGATTTTACAAGCAAGAGTGGAAGACTCCAATTTTAAATACTTTTTGTAGAAAATAGGTTCACTAAAAATGAAATGGAATTTAAATTATTTTTACTTTTATCACCATTTTTAATAGTTACACTTAAAAATGAACCGTTTCTAGGCCAATACTTAACCCCTGAGGCTCAATTTGTCTGGCAAGGGACAGAGCTGGGAGGCCCTCCTCAGGTAAGGAGCACTGTGTCTGCTCTTTCTACCTTAGTGAGAGAATTAAATGAGATAATGTATATAAAACCATGTAGCACAGAGAATATAGTAAAGCTCAATAAATGTATCTTTTATTTCCAATATGCACAATATATAAAATAGTCCATATTTTGAGTTATGCTAAGCAGAGTTTAGGTAGGAACCTTTGTATAAGAGCCTAAAGGAAAAAAAATCATATTGTGACAGGATGAATTATGGATTAAAAGGGCTGATGTGGCACAGTCTTGGAATGTCTTTCTTCCAAAAAGAAAAAAAATGTTCAAAGTTGCAGGCTGACGGTCAATTAACTTCTGGAAAACAGACCATCGTGCGTTCATGGAGAAAGCCGAGCAGCAGCAACACGAGTCACACTCCCGTCCAGTCTATACAGTCTGACTGCCTGGTACAACCCTCTCGTCACTTGCCTTCTGTTGGCTCTAAATTTCCCTACTCAACAATGAGAAAGCTGGTCTACATGGTCTCAAAGATCCCTTTAAGGTCTAAAGTTCTATTCCTGCAAGTATGTTTTTATCTTCTCCCCCTTAATGGTCTGGCACCAATGTGAGAGAATCAATACGTCCTGCAAAAGGTGAGGAGAATAAAAACACTGCTTCGGAAGAACACTCGCACAGGCACGAGGCACGCACCTGTTCTCCCGAACACTACAAACAGCCTTGCCCCGACTGGTGCCGCAGTACTCCTCCCCTAAGTACACTTCCATATTTCTCGCCGAACTTAAAATGCCAACACACACGATTTCTTCACCTCCCTCAGGGTCACCTCGCAGGTAAAGGAAGCAGGGGCTTTCCTCTTGGCTGTTCAGGCTCCTCTGCAAAATCACCACATCCTGCCTGCAAAGAACGTTCAGACTATTATGCAGCCTAGTTCTCCGAACACTGTTATTTACCTACTTGCTAAGCCCTCAGTACTTCTTGCAGTCACTTCCATTTGCCTCTGGGGTTCACGCACCTCCCCAAGCCCCCCGCAAACGCTCAATACAAATTCATCAAGAAACGGATACTTGGGACACGCGGGCTTCCCCCTACGTTTTCCCCTTGATCATCGACATCATACTCAATCCCCTGCAATTGCTTCTCATTCAGTTTAAAGCTCGCTGGCCACCACTTCTGTGCTCAACAGTGGGAAGCACAATACGATAAAAGACAGTGTATTTTTTCCAGAGTAACAGGACGGAGATTCCCGACTGTTGGCATTCTTTTTTACGCCTCTTTTGGTTGACAGGAGGTGGGCAGGAGCTTTCTGTTTACTTGGGGATCAAGGCGGATTACGGCTGTGACAGGTGCCGTCCAGGGCCGACCTGAAGGACCGTAGACGCCTGAGACTTTCCCGGTCACCCGCCCCCAACGCCCTGCGCCCGGCACGCGCGCCACGCAGCCGTCCCCGCCCGCCCGCCACCCGGGCCCTGCCTCTCGCCCACGCCGGCCCTGGCTCCCAGCACTGACCGCTCACCAGCTCCGCTCCCGGATCCCCGGCCCAGACCCTCTGCCCTCACGGCCCTCGCCTCCCCTCCCAACTCCCCCAGGAGCCTGGCTGTCACGGAGCAGCAACCCCGTCCCCGCAGGCCAGGCGCACCCTGGGGCAGCCGGCGCCAGCAGCTCATCCCAGTCCAAGTCCCGGGCGCCGAGACCAGCTCCGGTGACAAGGAGGCTCCGGTGCAGGGCCCCGCATGTGGCATCCCAGGAGGAGGCGAGCGTCGGGCGGCGGGTCGATCGCCCGTCCTCAGTCTCGGTCTCCATTCGGCCGCCGCCAGTCCAGGACAACCCCGGAACCTGTCTCCCGGAGGAACCTCCGCCAGGCCGGAGGAGGGGGGAGGGGGCGTGATCAAGCCGAGCAACTTCCGGCTGGTCGCGCTTCAGACCCAGAGCCTCGGCGTCTTCGCTCCCGCTGGGACAGAAGTCCGTGCGGCAGAGACGCGCGCGCGAGCCAGCCCGCTTCAGCCGCGGGGTTCAGCACGTGCCGGGAGACCCCAGCCTTGGGCGGAGCCTGCGCACTGATAGCCCCTCCTCCTACCCCGCCCCCGGGAGCTGTGCGCAGGCGCGGTGCGGTGGGCCTGGGAACGAGGTGGGCAATTTGACTTCGCCCCGGGAAAAAAGACAGGCGCTGGGAGGCTGTTGCCGGGCGGCCGGGGCGGGTTGATCCAGGGCGGAGAGTGGGTCGTCTGGCAGTTGTGGTGTGGTCGCTCCACGCGCCCTGAAGGACTTTTTCCAGACCCTGCGCAGTGGACGGCGCGGCTTTCTCGACCACAGCAGTGGAGCGCGCGGCGGCCCGGGCCGGGCGTGGAGCTGGCGTTCTCTTTTCACTCTTCCTTGTGTGCCACACACGTTCTCTCGCTAGATGGTGACGAGGGGTAAGCTGGCGGTGTGGCTTTGCCAGGCGGGGCTTGAGCGGAGCTCCGCGGCGGCGGCGCCGGGGTAGTGGTGTCTGAGGAAGCTTTGGGGCGCGCCGGGCGGGGCGCCATCTCCCTCCTCGCTGACGCCGGCTGGGGGCAGTGGCGCCGGGAGATGGAGACCCCTGCGCTCAGGCCGCAGGACCGCGGTGGCTCGAGCCAGAGGGAGATCTGCACCGCGGGGTCTGCACCCCTGGCCTTGGCAAGAGCGAGCAGAACGGGCCCGGGGTCTCCGGTGAAGCCGAATCCGAGCTGGGAGCGGAAGGGTTGGAAAAGTAGAGCAGGCGGGACTTTGCAGATGCCCGGCGGGACATGAAGGTAAATGGTGATGCCACTTTGCCGCCTTCTCTCTCCGTCACCTCAGCCTGGCCAGAGCCGGCCACCCCGTCCCTGCATCTTATTCTGACGGCCGCGTACACCCCGCATGTTCACAGACGCCCCACGCAGCTCTTGATCTGTTCCCTCTGCCTCTGGCCATTCTGTGGGTAGATTTCATAAGGGCCGTCAACCCAAACTGGGAAAGGAATATTCCCATCTTTACCTCGCACCGAAAGTTTACATTTCAATGTTAGTAAAATAGCAAACCGCAGCAGGCTTACCAGCACCTGTCCACTTGTCACTAAGATAAATCCCCGGCATTTTCACATCACATTAGTGTTTTTACCGCTGCCTTAAAACTTGATCACAACTTCAACAGTGTAGCCATTGGACTACCTCTACAACTTTGTGTATACATCAGTTTTATTGCGGTGTAATTAACATACAATAAGAGTCATAGTTTTTAGTAAACAGTCCTTTGCCTTTGACAAATGCATGTAGTTAGAAAGTGAACTTGGCCGGTGCGCACATGCCGCAGCTCCTATGTGGTCGTTACTACACCTGCCAGTGCATTGGGCACTGCGTCTGTTTGTAAAGAAGCACATATAGTCCATGTCATACGTTTGGTTTTGAAAATATTTTGTGACTATTTTTCAGTTTACTCAGTTTCCTTTGTAACATTATATATTTTATGCTGTATATCTAAACGTGTTACTCAGAAAAGGGTCTGTAGGCTTCACCAGGCTGTCTTGTCCGTGACACAGAAAAGGGTAATCAAGCATCTGCTGTTGTCCCTTTCCCCACCGGCTCCCTCAGAGTTTGACACAACACAAGCACCTCTGGGCCTGCAGGGACTGGGTGGCTTAGTCATCGACAGGCCAGAAAGTGGCACAGTGGTGCCGAGTCCGCAGTTTGCTCCCCTTGATTTAGTTTAGCCTCATTGCATATTTCTAAAATAGTTGGCGGAGGAAGGGATTGGATAGGAATTGGGCTACAGCATACAAATTTGGGGGGTGACACACCATTCAGACCATAGTAAACCTTCTTATTGGCAATTGACCCCCATTGTCATTTGAAATACAAAGCAGTTGCCAGATAAAGTAACTTTTCTTCCATGGCGGCCCTGAGACTGACTTTCACAATTCCCTTGCCCAGGTGTTGGTCTTGCAGGGTAAGCAATTTAAATGGACCAGTTGCATGTAACTGTAGGTAAAGGAAACTTCAGCATCTCCCCAGTTCCTCCTCCCTTTCCCTCATTGCCATGTCCACGTTTTTAAAGTTGGCACCATCCTCTGCATTGGATGTGGCAGCCCAGAATTTTGGTTTTCTGCTCATTCTGAGAAGGTCTCTCCAAATGCTTTCAGAGGAGACGTTTCCAAAGGTTAGAGGAAAAAACCCACGACGGATGACAAACTTGAATTCGAGTCCACCTGTCACTTATACCTGTTCTATACCTTTGGCCTCCAGGGAAACATCAGTGCCGGCCATGTATAGATTTATGTGAGAATGTAGCAGCTGTACGACCAGCTGTTTATTAGCAACTTCAAAAGAGGAAGTATTCCCTTACCTCCTGCAGGGCGTCCTGCAGGCAAGACCATAACTAAAGGCCTTCACTGGATAATCTGAACACTTAGGACAGGGTAGGCACTAGTAATTACTTGTGGAATCAAATTGGCATTGCTTTTCTCGACTGTTTGTTAAGATTATAAATGAGTTGGCATTACTGAATTTTTTTTTTTAAATTTAATCCTCACCCAAGGACATTTTATCATTGCTTTTTGGAGAGAAAGGGAGGGAGAGACAAAAACATCCATGCAGGAGAGAAGCATCAACTCTTCCTAGTTTGCTTCCTGTAAGCACCAGGCCTGGAATCTTACGTGCTGGGATTCGGGATGGAACCTGCAACCTAGGTATGTGCCCTGAGTGGGAATCAAACCCACAACTTTCCGGTTATGCGACAATGCTCCAACCAGCTGAGCCACACCAGCCAGGGCGGCATCATTGAATCTTCCAACCTTCTCTGCTCTTCCCCAAGAATGCAAAATCTTAAAAGACTGACCTGGAGAGCATGGTGCTATCAAGAACACATAAGACAAGGTGAAATCTGACTGATTCTGCTGGTAAAAGTATAACAATCCATTTCTAGATTCCCATATACAGTGAAAGGGAAATTAGGCAAAGGTGCCAAAAACTGGTCCCACACCCCAAAATGGGTGATAAAGCAAAAGGGGCTGGATGACCTCAGTGCAAGTGGTGGGACATTTTGATGCTGAGGAACATCACCATACTAAAGAGGGGTCCCAGGGCTGTGTCAGGAAAGGCTGAGTCGAGAACTGAGACTTTGATCTCTGGGCTGTAACACCCCGGCCCCACCACTGTGGCTCCCGCGGAGACCTGCGGGAGTCCGGACGTCCATGCCGACCTGATGGAGTGAGGCACTGTTCCCCCTAACTCGGTGGTCTGGGGGGCCTCGCTGAGGGTCAGGGCTGCCACCGCCCTCCCAGGGGTAACGAGGCTGTTTCCTCTGTGGTGTCAGTGGAGAATAAAGCAGGAGGGATTTTTTACCTGCAGTCTTAACCACAGGAACCTAGTTGAGCTTCCAGAAGTCAAGCTCATGGAGGTGTGTCCTCCCCGCAAAAACAAACAAACAAACAGAAAACCCCAACAACCCTGGATCCCCAGGACTATTTTAAAGCTCTCAAGCTAATCCTCATTCAGCCTCTGGCAATGCATTAGTTACCATTTACATGTTCCTGCCAGTCGCTGGCTCTGGCCGTAGCTTCTGTTCCCCGGAAGCTGATTTCTCTGCATTCATTCTTCTCTTCACTTTTTGCTGTGGCTGTTTCGCCTGTGAAATCAATTGTTTGGTTGGCCTAAGAAGTTTGGTTGGCTGTTTGGGGATGACAATGCACAAGCTCTTTACATGTTGGAGTGAAAACTGGAAGTTGTGTTCATTTTTATTCACTTGATTATTTCTGCTCTCAGAATAGATAATCTCAACTGACCTATCTTCAAGTTCACTGGTTCTCCTGCCGACTAAAGTCTGATGTTAAGCCCTTCTGGTGAATTTTCTTCAGTTAATTTCCATGTGGCTCCTCCCCAACCCCGCAACTACTTTCTATCTCTTTATTGATAGTCTCTATTGGAGACATCATTCTCATACTTTACTTTTTTAGACATGGTTTCCTTTAGACATATTTAAAATAGCTGATTAAAAGTCTTTGTCTAGTAGGGCCAATGCTTGGGGTTCTTTGGGGAAAGTTTTCATTAATTGCTTCCCTTCCCCTATTTTGATGGGCCATTCTGTCTTGTTCTTTGCAAGTTCTATAGTCTGTTTTGAAAACTGGACATGGAAAATAATGTAACATGGCAACTCTGGAAATCAGTTTCTCCCCATTCTCTAAGGTTTGTTGTTGTTGCTGCTTGTTGTTATTATTTTCTTTTAGTGACTTTTCTGAACTAATTCTGTAAAATACGTATTCTTTGTTGTGTGTGGGCACTGAAGTGTCTATTGATTAGCTTGATGGTTGGGCAAAAATTATCTTAAATGCCTGGAACCAGTAGTTCTCCCAGTAGTCTTTCATGAGGGGCTGTGTGTGCATGTTGGATCATATCTTCAGCAGTCAGGCAAGAGTGTCGGGAAACGCCCTGCCTGGGTTCAGGAGCTGTAACCCTGCTGACAGGCTGGAGGGCCCCAAGGCTGGAAATAATCAGGAGGCCTTGGAAAAACAGGCTCCTGAGGAGACATAGCCTGTCCCCCTCCCTGGCAAGGGTGTAGCCCCTTCCTCTCTGCTTTGCCATGGAGGGACTGGTCATCAATAATGGGTAAGTTACTCGAGCTGAGGTATACAACCTAAGACAGATCCCTGTCAGTATTGGCAACAGACAAGAAATTGGGGGACACGGAGAAGGAGCAAAGAGGCCCCTGCACCTCTCAGCTTGGCTTGGACGTGGCCGGAGTCCTCATTGCAGCTGAGAAGCAGTCTCCTTATCTCTTGGTGGTTCCCTCCCCCTGCCGCTTGGCTCAGGCTTGAAACACTGCAGGAACCAGCCCTAAATCA